AGACGTCATTTTGGGGCCCAGCAAGTTAAGTTGTCAGCAGAGATCTAATTACCTCGTGAGTCAGTGTTGAGTGAATTTTGGATTCACCTGCTGTATAGGAAAGGGAGCCAGTAGATCAGTGTACCTAAATTTTGCCAAAGCATCTCAAATGTCAAGTATAAATTCCTCATAGATGTGAATAAATCACTTTATAACCCTCTCAGAACAGCCTTCTACCCGAGTATAACTCAGATTATTACTATCCGTTAATGGCATAGAGACTAAGCATAGAGATGCAGCTATCTATATTAGGACTTTATATATGTACCATCGTCTTGTAGAACTAGTGAGCGAGCAGTAGCTTCATAGCATAGACGTCAGTTGCAAGAAATCTAGCCGGAGGACTTATTCAATGCTAGCACTACTATACACAAATAAAGTCTGTGTTTTAACACTTTTTTTCTTTTGCGATCACAAATGCAATTTCCACCGATTGCTACAAATAAATTATTTCACTTCATAATCAATTGTTCACCAATCAAATAGAGTCTCGTGACGTTCTCAGGCGCGTAACAATATTAGACTCACATATATGAATAATATGATCTCACTGCGAACATGTGCTCGATTATGAATTTTTCGCCAAGAATCAAAACAACTGCAAAGTCGCATGCCTTTTTATGCTGCAAGTAGACAGTAGTCACAGTACTTATTCATCTGAAACGTTCTAGTATCGAAAACTCGTCGAGTCTTGACTATACTTGTTCAAGCTGACCTTAGCGGCGTTTATTTTAGTCAAGTGAGTTTATTTAATAGTTTTTTTATCGTAGTATATATTATTACTAAAACTGAGCTCGTCTGCGTCTTCTGCGACTGCGAGAGCCCGTACAGGCACTGGCAGCAATACAGGCTCAGACCGCTCAGTCAGCCCCGACGTTCGAACTCTGCATAGCCTACGTCCTACGAGTCTTGAATTTCACCCAATGCCAAAATTGCCAATAGCTAGTGCGGCCTAGTAGCCACTCTGCCACTGGTTAGTGCGTTATTAGTGTCCAGTGGCTTCCTAGTGGTAATTATTATTTACTAGTTGGCTTTCAAAAAATCTATCCTATAGACATAGTTTGAGTTTCTACTAAATTTTTAATTCTCTCAGCACTCAGCTCACAGTGGCAAACAAGTGATTTTTTAGAATCAGTTCATTTTTAATTTCCTCATTTACTCAAGATTTTAACAGATTCCTTATGTATGATAATTCTTGTATCCAAGATACTTTACTGGTCTACTTATAGGACTCAAAAATTAACTCAAAGTCTCAAGGGACAAGGAAGAGTCTAAAAAAACTCTATGCTTTGCCACTATGATGTCTCAGCTTATTGATTAAATTGATATTATAATTAGATGTTGAAAATTTAAATTTTGGGGTGCCATAAATCTATTTTCTCAGTCATGTTAGGAATTTTTAAGCCATGAAATGATTTTGATAAACTATAAATTTAATGTTAATAAGGCCCTATAAATAATAAAATTAATTAAATAAAAATGCACATATTAATGCCATATTTTTGGTATTCCTAAAAATGTAATAGTAAATACTAAAATAGTATGTGATATTTTTCTGCTTACAAGATAACATTCTTGTTTTATTGCTTAATGCTGTTGCTGAATGTGCTAGCCTGCTAGGCCACTAGCTCCCGCCTAGTATGGAAAAATCAACTCATCAAGCCACTGCAGTACTGAATCTACTGATGATACTGGATTTCTGTAGCCATCAATTTTTTTGTTTTTTTTAGCTGATAGTTCACTTATTTTAGTTCCCTTGATCCTTTTTTTCTGTTTTTTTTTTGCATGCCATGCAGCCATGGGAAGCCTTTGCATAGCCTTAGCCTAACACCCGAAGAAGTGAACATGTTGCATTGTTTTTTGTTGCATTGAGATTTAATTTCTTTTGATAGTATTTTTGAAAACTATGCGTCTCTATACATAATTTAAATCACTTTTCCTGTTAAGTTTGTGTACTTACATACATTAAAATACGATTTTTCAAGTGTACGAATATTTATTTCCCCCCACTGTATATATAAGAATTTCGAACAATTACCAGACAAAATTGGTAACATTACCGGACAGGGGGTACAAAACCAGACAAAATCGAGTCCGGTAATTAACTCTGCAATTAGTTTGTACTTAAAAACCAGACACAAAAATAAATGAACTACACTACCGGATATTCTAAAAAACGCCAACCTTGTTAGGTTAGGGTTAGAGTTAGGGTTAGGTGTGTATAAAACCCTTCTTTACATTGCTTGGCACATTTCTATTAAGGTTAGGTCCAGCCAGGTTAAGTTCTTTTTACTTCTTTAACAATTTTGCCTATGTCACTGGGCCAAAAATAAGCATAGTCCGGTAAAGTGCAATTATTGTTACTATATATATTAGTATAGGTTGGCAGAATTTCTTCTTTCAAGCAGGTTTCATTTAAGACCAGAGAATTTGTTTTATTCGCAATTTTCTTATTAGTTTTTTCAATATATCGAACAATATTTTTAGTTTGAACTGGCAAATCGAAAATCAGGTTACAGATGGACATTTTTATTTCGTTAACGACGTTTCGAATGTGTCTATCATTAATTATCAAGTTAAAAGGCGCATTGAGTGATGAAATTAGCGTTGACATAAGTACAAAATCAAGTAAATAGGATACTACTCAAAAATCAAAATAGTTAGGAATAATTACAAAATCACAAAATAATTTAGAATCAAAGCACCGAAAATTACTCCAGAAACAGTCTCAAGGTTCTGACAAATCCAGTAGTTTCAAGGTTGATGGCTGGGGTCCTATCCTTAATGATGAGGGCCTCAGCTATCATGAGTCGGTTGGCGTCGGGGCATCTCATGACGACGCTGGTGCATTCTTCCAGCACCGTACGAGTGATGGTCTCGTTGTGGGCTTCCATCAGGTGGTTCTTTGGTCCACCAGATTGAAGGTGGCACGTGAGACGTCGGCTTAATGTCGTAGTTGTGAGCCCGATGTAGTCCATGTTGGGGAGAAGTCTACAACCTTCTCTATTGCAAGAAAATTTATGGACTACATTGGTCTCTTGGAAAACTCCCGTTTTTTTGCAAGGGTTATTGTTCATTACAAGATTCTGTATTTTCTTGTTTTTGTAATAAATCAATAGTTTAATTTTATTATTAGTTACGTTCACGATGTTATTGTGAACGATAGAATGAAGGATCCGTTCATCTGCTTTATAACCGCTGGTCATTTGGTTCTCATAGTAGATGGTTGTGACGTTTGCGTCAGTCTCTGGTTCATGGTTGCGTCTGTTTTGGTTCGATCAAAGCTTTGAAATTTCCTTGTCAATTGTTCTATTTGCAAATCCATTATTGACTAAGGTTCTTTTGCAATTTTTCAGCTCCGTATTCAAATCATTTTCAGAGGAGCAGGTTTTGAGTGCTCGTTGGATGAGAGCACTTATTGCGCTTCTTTTGTAGAGCTCTGGGCATTTGCTGGCGGCGCTAAAAAATATATATATAAATGACTAAAAGATGACTATGGCCAGCTGGGTCTCTAAATGATGTTATTGTTGATTCTCCTTTAACAACGGTTTAATGGAATGCAGTGACCAGTATCTTGTAAAATGCACACATCACTACAGCCACATCAACATTGTCCTCCACATCCCCAGGCTTGTTCAACTGCACATCTCAGCCCTGCACCTGCACTCTCCTCTTGTGTGCCGTGCAAGATGGAAGCTCAAGTTGAGGCTCATGACGCCCACCCAAACTCCTCCCTGAAAATTTCTGCTCTGTTGTCAAATCAGGTATGCATTTCGAATAATTTCACCTGTATCTAATTTACTGTAAACAATGAATTTAAGAGAGATTTTCCCAAATCTTTTAAATCACCATTGTTTCGTTTTATTGTTGGCAGTTAAGTATAAAATAGGCGGCTTTACAAGTACTGGTAGTGATACTGGGAGCACATGTCATTTTACCAATATAATTTAATCCTGCAAGTGAAATCTAATTATTTTTATCTCAAGAAATAGATGGCAATACCTTTGATTTCACAACTCACCCTTTTCTCATGTATCTGGGATCACATTCAAGAAAGGATGGGATTGGTAATATCACCACACAGCATGGGACAAAAATTGATTGCTTAGGTTCCATCAGTAGCTATTTTATCTTGAGGCTGTCCATGGCCTGCTTGGGTGCATATAATATCCATACATATAGCTGAGCTGGCCCAACTTACTGGCATCTCTGACCCGGCCAACGCTGAAACCAATGCACGGTCACAGCTGGGTATCTCCAAGTGATGTTATTGTTGATTCCCTTTTAATAGCGGTTTAATGAAATGCAGTGACCAGTAAAAAATTGTGCCAGGGCACATCTTGTTAATCTGTGGAGTGACAGTACAGATTTGTCTATATTTGGTAGTGCAGGAGTCCCGTAGTTGAGCAGTTCTGGTGTGTGATATGAGTCAAAGGCTTCGGTGTGGAAGTTGTTACTAGCTTTTCTTAAGGGTAGCACTATTGGTATTGATTGGTAGTAATGGTTGAATTGCATTGATATAATGTAAGGAAATAGACACAAATACCAAAGTTCGAACCAAAATTTTAATTGAAAGCTGCAGGAATTTTCCCAGAATTTTGCGCCGTGTTAAATTGCGACAATACAGTCAGGTTTCCTGGAGTGGAAACTGGAATGAAAGAATACTGGGCGTCACTGCAATGAATATGAATGCACAAAGTTCCAAGATTCAAACAATTTTGTTCACTATTTTAGCGGCGTAAGACAAGAGAGTGGTCACATTCCCAGGCTAACCTCCTCAAACAAATCAATTGAGCACCGATGACGAATAGCTGGTTAGCTGGCACCCGTTGATGCGCAATGATTACGCATTATGAGGGTCAGTGTCAGGTATTCTACAGTTATATTGTGAAAAAGGACTGGACTTTGCTTACTAGTATGAAATTGAATTGGGCATATTAAACTTTTGAATAAGATACAAGTTAATTTTCATTTAATTAGGTAATTAATATTCAGTTATATTCAATCAGCCGCTGGCTGATTATAGAAGTGGCATGAAAGCCTTTCAGGGTGAAATTGTTAATAGGTGCATGTACAAAGAAATGAAATACTGGCCGGCCCAACTCAAGGGTAGCAAGATAAGTTTTAAGTGTTAAAATGCAAAGATTGGCACAAAGGCCGGCAATGATGCCAAGAATATTAAATGTGTCAACGACACCTAGTATGTTGGGCCAGACCAAAGAGGTGATACCGCATGCATTAAAGTAATAAATTACGCCCTTGGCATGCATTAATTCAAATGGATTAATAGGAAATGATATAGGTTGCATCAAGTTTACAGTAGCAAGTACTGCATCAAAGAACAATTTTTAGAGTCACTTCCAAGCTAATTTTCCTCTGAACAAACTTAATCCCTGAAGTTGACTCGCTTCAAACTTAATCTTCCTTGTCTCCATTACATTAAAACGGAGCATAATTTCCAATAAATAAACCAAACTAAACAAAATTTCTAATAATAATTGGTGTTCTGAGAGTCTCTCATGTTGCAGGGTTAGGGGTTTGTTCTTGTGATTTGGTATCAGGGGTGTTTCAGATGGAGGTATTGGGTGGAGAGAAGGTCGGTGTGTTGTAGGATGGCAAGCATTTATCATTCAGAATGAAGATATTGTTTGGCTGTTGTGTTGTGGCTACCAGTTATTGTAGGCAAAGCTGGAATTTTGAACCGTTTGTAGTCAGGTCAAGTTGGAGGAATGACTGATTGGGGTCCAATTCTGATTCAGGCATTATTAGTTATTGTATGGCCGATGATTTTGTAGGTTTGTAATAAGGTTTCTTCGTCATGTCCATATGATGTTACTCAGAGGACTTCCATCATGTTTTGCTTTTTGTGGACTTTGCTTACGTGGTTTCGTTTTGGGTGGTGAAAGTAAGCATGGAATCAAGGGTTAGGCCAATGATTTTTGGGTTGTGTTCAATCAGAAGGGGTTGGCTATTAATATTTATGAGGGCGGCAGTGGTACTGGGCCATGTGTGGTGTTGAGAGGGTGGCTGTTGATTTGGTTGTTGAGACTTACAAGTTTTGTTGAATAAATAAATCGGGACATTGCCTGCTTTCAAAGTGTCACATTACATTGGCACAACAATAGCACTCTTGGAAATCAGCTTCAAGTTTAAAATCTATGTTTTTGAAATATATGAATGAAATGTATCTAACTTTACAATGCATTTTAGCATTGCATTTTATTTGTGTTTATATTTGCAGAGGCAGAATTTATGCCTTAAGTTTAGGCCTGGCAACATTAACTCATTTATTTGCTGACCAACTAATAAAGCTGAGGAATCATTTTTGAACCAAAACAAACTAGGCAAATATTCCCAAACTTTTGTCACAATTTTCATTTCTTTTAGAACAACTCGAGTATTTTACTGGGGATCAAACCTGAAAGTCAACTGTTTAATGTGGCTGTTATTAATATGAGAGATTGTTTTACTCTGCTTTTCTATCAATAGTTTGGCGAAGGTGGGTCAGCACCGGCATCAGGAGATGCTGCTTGTGACGTTGACGACTCTGGGGCGCCCAGCTCCAAGCAACACGTGGAAAAATCATTTAGGTTCCCTGACAATGAACTATTAGGCACCAAAAGGAAATCAATGCAAGAGCGTATGAACTACAAAAATTTGTGCCGAAGTGAACACCAATGCCAATTCTGTTTTAATTTGTGTGCCACTGAAGCTGATCTCAAACAACATATTATCTCACAGCATCCTAAAAGGAATACACAGAAATACTGTGGAAGTAAATATGCTAATGATTGCAAAAAAGTCTTGCACAAGCATTGCCTCTCTAAGCGTTCATCAGTGAAGAAGTTTTGTTGCTCTGAGTGTGAGCATACTTGCACCACAAAGGGGGACTTGAAAATACATTTTCTTTACAAACATTCAACAGAAAAATCTTTTCGGTGCTCTGAGTGTGATTATGCTTGCATCACAAAAGGGCACATGAAAAGGCATTTTCTTAACAAACATTCAACAGAAAAACCCCTTCAGTGCTCCGAGTGTGATTATGCTTGCACTGAAAAAGGGAACTTGAAAATACATTTTCTTCGCAAACATTCAACAGAAAAATCCATTCAGTGCTCCGAGTGTGATTATGCTTGCACCACAAAAGTGGACTTGAAAAGACATTTTCTTTGCAAGCATTTAGAAGAAAAACACCTTCAGTGCCCCGAGTGTGATTATGTTTGTACCGAGAAAGGGAGCTGGAAAAAACATTTTCTTCGCAAACATTCAACTGAAAAGTCCGTTCAGTGCTACGAGTGTGATTATGCTTGCACCACAAAAGGGGACTTGAAAAAGCATTTCCTTTACAAACATTCAAAAGAAAAACCCCTTCAGTGCTCCAAGTGTGATTATGCTTGCACCGAAAAAGGGAACTTGAAAATACATTTTCTTCGCAAACATTCAACAGGAAAGTCCATTCAGTGCTCCAAGTGTGTTTATGCTTGCACCACAAAAGTGGACTTGAAAAGACATTTTCTTTGCAAGCATTCAGCAGAAAAACCCCTTCAGTGCTCCGAGTGTGATTATGCTTGCACCAAAAAAGGAACTTGAAAATACATTTTCTTCGCAAACATTCAAAAGAAAAACTCCTTCAGTGCTCTGAGTGTGATTATGCTTGCATCGAAAAAGGGAACCTGAAAATACATTTTCTTCGCAAACATTCAACAGGAAAGTCCATTCAGTGCTCCGAGTGTGATTATGCTTGCACCACAAAAGTGGACTTGAAAAGACATTTTCTTTGCAAGCATTTGGCAGAAAAACCTTTTCAGTGCACTGCATGTGATTATGCTTGCATCACAAAAGGGAACTTAAAATAGATTTTCTTTGCAAGCATTCAAAAGGAAAGCTCCTCTGTTACTGTATTTGTGATTAAACTTTCAACAAAATCAGGAACAAGCCGTGTAGAGTACCTAAAAGGCACCCACTGCCACCAAGGAAGAGGGGCTCAGCTGTTCAATGTCAGTCGAAGGTTGCAGTCTCTTGAGATGGCTTGAAAATGAACGAGAACAACAAAGCTGTTCTTTTGTTGGGGCTTGAATGCTACTTCATAAGAATATCAGCCGCCAGTTTTAATGAAGCCTTCATGAGGGACTAGAAGCCGTCGGTGTTGTGAGAATGGCTGTCATGCTCTTGGGGGTAGCTGATGCAATTACCCTCTAGTTCACTGGCTGATGGTTACTAAATAAACTGACGGTTTTCTGACAACGGAATACATTCTTGCATCGTTGTACTTGAGATTGACTTTTATGGTAGTTCAGTAACCATGCTAAACTCCCAATAGATTCAGTTTGTTTAATTTTAGTGTTTTGCTGGTATCAAGATTAGTTACACATTCTTGTTTGCAAATTTTCTGAGTAAGATTAGTTGATACTATACTAGCCCTGACATATGTTGTAAGTTTTACAATAATTGATTATTTGCTATGTTGCTTATTTCATGAGAAGTATTTTTCATAAACCGGGCTCATTAATGCATAATTTCGCTGCTTTAGGACTGGTGCCTTTTATTCTGGTTTCATGTAGTTGAAACAAAATATACCCATGCCTATGGCGGCTCTTATTCTACCCTTCAAACTGGATGATACTATTGTTCTCAACGTCCAGATGGCCTCGAACGATGTTGTGTCCAACATGTTTAAATGAGCGGTTGTCCTCTTACTGCGCTCGCAACCAACTCATTTGTTGCTGTCTGAATGCCTGCTTCTAATACAGGCTCCTCGTTGTTCGATTGTATTTGGTCACTCGAATTTTGATCTTTTTGTAACAGCTAAACCTGGCGCTGCCTGGGATAGATATTCCCCGAAGTTTGAGAATCCGGCTATTCCAAATCCTGCTACATCAAATCACCAGAATTCCGCTGCTAATCTTAAAACTAGAGTATATTCGAGCGTAAACAGCAGAACAGTAATCAAACTAGAGTATATTTGGAGACCAGCAGTAGAAATCTAGACACAACAGTGGCAGGACAGCGAGGTATTGCACGCCAAAAGTCCCGACGAGAGTGACAGGACAGCGAAGCGTTGCAGGTCAAAAGTCCCGACGAGAAGGAGTATTTTTTCTATATTTTTACATACGTCCTGTGCTAAATATGTAGAATTTGATTTCATTACGCAGTTGCCGCTTGACAGGGAACGGAGAGTTGCCGCTTGACAGCTGACGGAGAGTTGCGACGTAAGAGAACGCGAGGCGACGTCTGTAGGACGCGCAGCTTCTGCGCCTTCGTTTGGACCGCGACGTGCGGTTGCCAGGTTCACTTCATGACTGCTGACGCCTTCGTCAGGACCGCGTCGTGCGGTTGCCAGGTTCACTTCATGACTGCTGACGCCTTCGTCAGGACCGCGACGTACGGTTGCCAGGTTCACTTCATGACTGCTGACGAAGGCTTGGGTGTCGGCGGCCAGGAGGGCCGGAGTGAGCAGCACTACCTGGGGCAGTTCGAGGTTTGCAGCGTCAGGAGGGCGGATGTTGCAGGCACCGATAAAATTGAGCAGATTGTGCCAATACATTGCAGACTATCAATATATATAGTTAAATAGTCCCCTGACAACCAGTGACAGTTTAACAGGGTATTTTGATCTTAAGGGGAGCATCTGGGTGCTGAAAAAACTTTTTGTTTACAGACGGATCGTTTTGAAACTTGGTACTCATATGTAAAACAGAATTCTAAGACTTTTTTGTTCGTGTGAATTTTTCGAAAAAAATGAAAGAAAACGTGAAATTCTTAGAAAACGGAAAAAAGGGTGTACCGTAGAAAACTATCTCCTCCTAGGATTTCGAAGCTACAACATTGAGACGCATATCATTCGATGTGTAAGGACCATATCTATCGATTCGTCGTAGCTTTTTTCGGATTTCGAATTTTTGTGGATGGGGGAGTATTTTTCGCAAAATTTTCGAAAATTTTTCCATATCCCCCTTTTTCTACCCCCTTTTTCGAAATATTTTCAAAACTATAACGAAATTGGAAAAAGCTACGACGAATCTCTAGATAATTCAATTGCGAATCGAATGGTATATGTCTCATTGCTGTAGCTTCAAAACTCTAGGCGGAGATAGGTTTGCAGTGACAATAAGTTAACTTTTCAGTAGGGCCCAACAAAGTCGCGTGCGCCTCGAAAAAGACATTCAAGGGTGCGAGGTTGCAAGACTACACGATATTGGAGCTTAATTTCTGTCAAGGCTGGTGCGAACGACGGCACGAGAACCATCCCATATGACTGCAGGCGGATAACTGAAGCACAGCGTGTTCAGACTAGCTATTTAAGTGTGCCACCGGTAATTTAGGCCTATATTAAATATTAAGGAACTCCACCACCCCTAACCCTTTCGCGATCTGTCGTGAACGCATAAATCAACGTACAGAGATGGTTTTGGTACCGTTAGATGCGTCAGAATGTAAGCTTTAAGATGAGTATAAAAACCCCAAAAAAATTCGATTTTGACCCAGACGCTCCCCTTAAGTGTACACATTGCAACTGGAAATTTTCAAAAGTTTCAATAATTTGTCAATATACTGTATTTCTAAAACTGAATTTTCCGTTGTCGCCATAAGGAATAATATGTAGCGACCATGTTTATATATTTCTTCCAGTTATTATATATATATATTATGTTTATATATTTCGTCCAGTTAACTCATTTTCTATGAACGCTGCTAGCCTATTGAAGTTTAGCGGAGTTTCTCATCAACTATAACTCAATATTAGTAACCATGTTATTGCCTTAAGCATCATTAATAATTATCAACTGCAATTGGAATACTGTTGAATATGAATTAGCTACACTTTGATAATATTAGCACCGACCTAGGATTTTACAACATCAAGTAACTCCAGTTGTCATTATCATTTGCATATTTGTAATACAGCGCGTAATCTGATCTCCAGACCTGGATTCAGTTAAGAACGCCTTCGTCAGGACCGCGACGTGCGGTTGCCAGGTTCACTTCTTGACTGCTGACGAGGGCTTGGGTGTCGGCGGCCAGGAGGGCCTGAGTGAGCAGATCTACTTGGGGCAGTTCGAGGTTTGCAGCGTCAGGAGGGCGGGTGTTGCAGGCACCGATAAAATTGGGCAGATTGTGCCAATACATTGCAGACTATCAATATATATAGTTACATAATCCCCTGACAACCAGTGACAATTTAACAGGGTATTTTGATCTTAAGTGTACACATTGCAACTGGAAATTTTCAGAAGTTTCAATAATTTACCAATATATTTCTAAAACTGAATTTTCCGTTGTCGCCATGAGGAATAATTTCTAGCGACCATGTTTATATATTTCTTCCAGTTATCCCGGAACTCATTTTCTATGAACGCTGCTAGCCTATTGAAGTTTAGTGGAGTTACTCATCAACTCTAACGCAATATTAGTAACCATGTTATTGCCTTAAGCATCATTAATAATTATCAACTGCAATTGAAATACTGTTGAATATGAATTAGCTACACTTTGATAATATTAGCACCGACCTAGGATTTTACGACATCAAGTAACTCCAGTTGTTATAATCATTTGCATATTTGTAATACAGCGCATAATGTGATCTCCAGACCTGGATTCAGTTAAGCAGGGGCCCCTCGTGGCTATTAGTGTGGTTGTGACTTGTTCTCTCCCGAAGCCTCAGACCAACAGCCTCCGAACCCTTGGGATTAGCAGCCTTCGTGTGGTGAGTGTCGCTAGGAATAAGTGACTACTTCTTTTTTGCCTCTATCTCTACCATTCTTTCGTGCATACGACTGCAGTCCCATCATATACCTGTGTTTTCGCTCCCTCCCCTCCCCTTATCCCATGCCCTCCCCTCACGCCCGAACCCGACGGGCTCGTCCCAGAGGGCTAGGGGCTGCGCGACCAACCAACCACCACGACCTCGACTTCCATCCTTATCATCATGTCATCCCCCCTCATCTTCATCGAACTTATCAAATCAACCATCAATCTCATGAACGCTCGAGACCCCAGACCTACAGAATTCAAATTAAAAAAATTGACCCCAGACTTCCTACCGACCGACCTAAAATCTTTCAAACCACATTTAAAGAACTCGACGCTCCACTGATTCGAATGACAGACACAGCTACGGGCATTTGTGCTGTCACCGATGCGCCAGAAGCCTTTAGAAAAATCAACTTGACCCCAATTATACCCCCAGATCTACGAGCTAAACGGACCATTTATGTAAGACAACTTGACTTACGAGTCACGGCTCTCAGTAAGTTACAAGTCACGGCTCTCAGTAACTTAACGTGGACAACCCCATCTACTTGGCAGACCTTGCAGCCTCCCTCACCTCAGCGTCTCCTGCTGAACTTCAACAAATTCTCGAGGAGCAAAATGTATTCACTGACTCGTGCATTGCGCAGCAATAACTTGACAAATTTTACTATAGATTCACATTGATGGATTGATCACATTACACAGTGATCACATTACACACTGATCACATTGGGTCAAGTGAATCTGATGGTGTTGTAAAATCGAGCATGTTTACTTGAAGTAATTTATGCTATTGAATGGATAAAATTGATCGTGTTGTAGAAAACAAAATAATTATCAATAGATTTTTGTGTTTCGAAAAATTCTCCCAATTTCATCTCAAATTACTTTCATTTTTTCAAACATATTTTCTGACTATTTCTCTTCAACGTGTTCTATGCGTCTGGTTTAATTCAAGCATTAAATGTGGTGACTTGCTATTTAAAGTAATTTATTTCTACAAGTTATTTTCAAACTCCAATGTTGCAGATCAGAGAACGGCTGATGCTGGCTCTGGCTCTTGTTAAAAAGGAATATGAGCTGAGTAAGCTGCAAGCATCTATTGCTAAGGTGAGACTAGTTGCTCCTGTTAAAACAAGATTGCAGTGCAGCCTGCCAGCTGCAATTGTAGGGCGTGAAACCATGTTATCAAGTATAACTGTTTTATCAGAGCTTTATATTGCAATTTCCAAGGTATACCTATTTATTTCATATACCTATCTAAGTAGATGTCAGAATATATTTATTTTCAGACAATATTTTACATTTTTCACTCGAGGAAATATGATAAGGTTTCTTTCTACTAATACTAGTTTTTCTCTGAAGTATTCCTTCAACTATCAAGCTAGTATTCTCCTAAATGTTTAAATATTCCTTCTAACTGTCATGAAGTTATTCCTTTACCTTTATTTTAAATATCCCTATAACAGTCATGTATATATTCTTTTAATTGTCAGGCATGTAAATATTATCTTTAATGTCATATATTGATGGTACCAGGAAGTAGAGGAGAAGGTGCGCACCCACCACCGCAAGTACATGCTCAACGAGCAGCTCAAGGTCATCAAGAAAGAACTTGGCCTGGAAAAAGATGACAAAGATGCCATCGAAGAGAAGTTCAGAGCTCGCCTCAAGGTAAGTTGTTGATGTTCTTCATTACATAGAAGTCATTTGTTGATCTAATTGATATTTCATCTAATAATTTTAGCCTCCCGACGTAGAAAAATAACTTTTTTAGTAATATAATATTAAAATAATAATAATAACTTTTTTTTTAACTTTAGATTGTAATCCATCACTCGAGAGTTTGCGAGCCCGAGAGATGAAATTGTTCCATATTTTTTTCTTGATGCTTTCCTACCTAAAATGTTAATGGTTCTATCAATTGATAAGGTTCTGTTGTGTTCACGCTTGTTCGGCACTTGATACCGCAGGACAAGACTGTGCCTGAGCCTATCCTAGAAGTGATCGAAGAGGAGCTCAGCAAGCTCGGCTTCCTGGACAACCACTCGTCTGAGTTCAGCGTCACGCGCAACTACCTTGACTGGCTCACCGTCCTGCCGTGGGGCGTCACCAGTGAAGAACATCTCGATCTCGATAAAGCTAAGAAAATCCTCGATGAAGATCATTACGGTCTTGAAGATGTCAAGAAGAGAATTCTGGGTTTGTTTATTAATTATTCCCAAAGAGTTTATTATAGTCTATTGTACTAACATTGAAAACTTTTTTTTTTTTTTGAAGAGATTACGTTCAGAAACTTTTTCCAACAAAATTAAGCTTCTGCAATTGTACCGTTGGCCCTAATTTTATATTCCTATTCTCTCCACTTGTTGTCTAGTCTATGAAGTGGAAGTCTAGACTATTAAGTCTAGTCATTTGACTGTTCGCGCTTTGCTACAATACGATCATAATACAGCAATATACTAGTATAATATGTGGCACTAGCCGTCACATGAGATTGGATTGCAATAGAAAACATTGTGTTGTGCAGAGTTCATCGCCGTGGCTCAACTGCGGGGCAGCACGCAGGGCAAGATCCTGTGCTTCCACGGCCCCCCCGGCGTTGGCAAGACTAGCATTGTCAAGTCCATCGCTAAAGCCCTCAACAGAAAGGTTTATTTGTATTTTGTCTTTATCCTGGTATAGTGTAACTATTGTTTTGCTTCGTTCATGATAAACAAAATGATGGAAGGGAAAGAACCCTTAGCTTCTTATTGCTTACATTTGCAGGCTGTTGCCAAAGAAACCATTCATAGAAAGGTCTTAATTTTTATCTTTATCCTGGAATAGTGTAACAATTATTGTTATTGTTTGTTCATGATGAATGAAATGGAATGTGATAAATAGAAGATACAGAAATCCTTGATCTAGGATTTACAAGTAATGATGTCTCTTAATGTTTGCTGTATTAATGTTCCGAGTTAAGAATAAAGTAACGTTATTAGTAATAAAATGATTCTAAGTTGTTGAATGCAGTGCATCCCTCGTAGTCCTGGCTGTGATGCCGACTCATGTTACCTTTGTAGCGCTACTTATTATTAGAAATATTACAACGTGGTGTGGGTAATACTAAATGGCTTTGTGAAGTATACAATAAGATTTAGTTTACCGATTTATTGGACCTTACACTTTATGAAATCAAGGAAACTGTCGAAATAGCGATGCACTTTTGCTCTAATATTGGTCATCTTGGCCCGGTAAAAAGGATATACAAGTGCTACAAGCAGCAAGCATGTTACTTTTTCGACAATATGATACAAATCCATTTTTCTGAGCGTACTGACGTGTGACGTTGTGACTGCAGTACTTCAGGTTCAGCGTCGGTGGCATGACGGACGTGGCAGAGATCAAGGGGCACCGCAGGACGTATGTCGGGGCCATGCCCGGCAAAGTCGTCCAGGTAAGTCGGGGAGATTTTTTTGTCCAGACTTGCTTGACTTGGACAAAAAATGGATTTATATTATCTGTTTTTCATCGTGTTATGATAGTCTAATTTTAATTGTAGATAACGATTGATAATTATACGGCACGCAATCTTGTTGGAGTGTTGAGTTGATTTAATGACTTTCATGCCAAATTTTTGGCTAATTTTTTACGGTTAATTTATCTTCTTCCTTTGTTTTATTTAGTTCTCTCTGTTCTTCGTTCACACGATTGCATATATCTGAATTAATAACTTAATAATCGTTGTGCAGTGTCTGAAGAAAACCGAAACAGAAAACCCCGTCGTACTCATAGACGAAGTGGACAAAATTGGGCGCGGTTACCAAGGGGACCCTGCAGCAGCGCTGCTCGAACTGCTCGACCCTGAGCAGAACGCCAACTTCCTGGACCACTACATGGACGTGCCTGTGGATATGTCCAAAGTTCTCTTCATCTGCACCGCTAACGTCCTCGACACCATTCCGGACCCTCTCAGGTAATACCGCTTACAACCATATTCTACCTGACCATCTCATGTAATACAGGGTGGGGCAGAACCGATTGAGCAGTTTTGAAGCGAAATAAAAGAGTAATGGAGGTACACAAAGAAGAAAGTTTATTTTCCTCGAGGTTAGCATAACATACCATTTAGAATACTTATGTTTTGAAAACAATATCAGGAAGATGGTGGCCGTTAGCTGGTGTTCAGAAGTCGCCCTTACACCCTATCACAGCTAAGGGAACGGATTATGTCAGAGGTTATGGCCATACCTCGCCATATGTGTGATCGTGCTGTAGGAAACTTCCGAGAATGACTCCAACAGTTTGTTGCAGCTAACGGCCACCATCTTCCTGATATTGTTTTCAAAACATAAGTACCGTATTCTAAATGGTATGTTATGCTAACCTCGAGGAAAATAAACTTTCTTCTTTATGTACCTCCATTACTCTTTTATTTTGCCTCAAAACTGCTTAATCGGTTCGGCCCCACCCTGTATATATCAACCACAGACATCTTTCCTGTAAAACAATATTTGTGATTCCCATGTCCATTTCCATGATATTTTATGAAAATTTCCTGGTCAACATCCACGTTGGTCAGCGATATTCGTTTTGTTTTTGGAACATTTCTTCACTTATATAATGTGTTTGCTGAGTTTTTGTTCGTAATGTTCAAGTTTTTTAATTATTTTTGAGTCAAGTTTTTTCTTGCACTATTAACTCCTAGTAGGTATAATAGATGTCCAATGCATTATTATTGAATAAAGAAACTTAAATAATTTTCTATATGTCTGCAGAGATCGCATGGAAATGATTGATATTTCTGGTTACGTTGCCGAAGAAAAGATGGAGATTGCCAAAGCTTACCTCATCCCTCAAGCCATGAAGGCGTCTGGCATCGAGGAACAAAAAGTATGAGCTGATGAATGATCGTGAATGATCTGTAAAATTAATTAATCTAGAGTCAGTTAATATGATCTGTGAAATTAGTTACTGTTGAGTTAAATGATCTGTAAAATTAATTAATCTAGAGTTAGTTATATGATGTGTGAAATTAATTAGTGTAGAGTGAGTTATAGGATCTGTGAAATTATATGGTGTAGAGTTAGTTCCATGATCTGTGAAATTAACTTGTGCAGAGTTAGTTATACGATCTGTGAAATTAATTAGTGCTGAGTTAGTTGTATGATCTGTGAAATTAATTAGTGTTAAATTAGTTTTATGAACTGTGGAATTAATTAGTGTTGAGATGGTTATATAATCTGTGAAAGTAGTTAATTTTGGACCCGAAATCTGATTTTCCTGAAAGGTACATATTCAGTAACTTTACCGAATATCAATAGTTTTTGTTCATTTCGATTCTTCGGTGGGCAAGTAAGTATCATATGTGTATTTGTTTCGTAGCTGCCTACTCGTTTCATCTTGTGAAAATAAATTTAAAAGTAGAATTCTTTTTACATTGTTTTCCTGTAATATAGCAACCCTGCTCCACGTATTATTTTATTGCAGATTTCCTTGGAGCCTGCAGCCATCGAAACTCTGATCAAGCGTTACTGCCGCGAGTCCGGCGTGCGCAGCCTTCAGAAGCTCATCGAGCGCATCATGCGACGCGCCGCATTCACGTTGGTCAGCGAGAAGCCTGAGTGCGTGGCCGTGCAAGAAATGAGGTGAGCTGGTCTTCCATGTTTTTTCGGTTTGCTGCTGCATCTGCGTTGTGCGTCATGATAAGGTCCAGAATGTTGAAAAATATTAGTAGGTAATACTCATGATAAGATTGCTCTAATCTCGTGTTTCTTTCATGCCAACTTACTCTAATTCCTGGTTAGAATAAGTTGTCATGAAATTCCTAATGATAAATAAGTCTTATTTTTAACAGTTCCTACTTGTGATGCTTTGTTTCTTGACACAGGGCGCTGTGCCCAAGGATGGCCCGAGCGCAGGCATCACCATCGTAACGGCGCTCGTATCTCTCGCCCGCAATCTGCCCACTCGCCAGGACGTGGCCATGACAGGGGAGGTCTCTCTGACGGGCAAAGTATTGCCTGTGGGCGGTATTAAGGAGAAAACTATCGCTGTGAGTGCAACATAGTAGTCCAGGAATGTTCTTATTCATATGTAATATTTTTAACTGTGATTTAAAATGAAAAATTTTTGTGAGGAGGGGAGTTTTACCGGCTGCCTCCTCTTACGTGACTATTTATTTTAATTTCGTTGGTTTTTTATCCAGCTTTGTATTGTTCATCGTTTTGAACTTTCATACCTATTAACCTGAGAATGAAAAATTCTCTCATAAATATACTAGTACCACTATAGTTACTAGTAATAGCTGGTAATAGTACTAGGTACTTACAAAGAGAAACTAGTCTTAGATTCTTCTTAATAAAGTGTATTAAGGGAAATAATTCCCTTAATATACGTTTGAAATAGGTATTCTTTATATGATCGTGAAGAATTCCTGACTCAATTTTTTCGAAATTTTCCTTTAATGGCCATTATACGCAGGCCCGTCGTGCTGGCGTCACTTGCTTGGTTTTGCCCGCGGAGAACAAGAAGGATTACGCGGACCTACCGTCATTCATCACCGAGGGCCTCGAAGTTCACTTTGCTGCAGACTACAGTGACGTCTACCGAGTGGTGTTCGAGCAATAGTGTCGCTAGTGTGAAGAACTGAGTGGTGTAGGAGCAATAGTGTTGCCAGTGTGATGAAGGTGCCTGTCCTGAAGGTGATGAAGGTGACTTGGAGCTAAAATTTTCTTCGTTCATTGTGATGAATGGAAAAATTTCTAGAAATCAGCCATCTGAGTAACTGTACCTATACTTTAAGTGAAACAGATAACATATAAAGCCAGTTTTTTCAAACGAACGAAAAAAATTTCCTAAAAATGAACGAAACAAATTTCCTATAATATTTGTTGATGAAATTCTAGAACCAAATTCATATTGGATTAGTGCATAGGAGAACTGAGCCTCTATAATCCCTGGTGGACATGTTTCATTGTCAAAATTGTTTTATTGTATTTGGAATTTTGTAAGGTAATTGTTATCTGTGTTCTGAGGAAATTAATTTCTGAATTTGGCTTTTCAGTCAGTTTTGCTCAGGATTGTTATTGTGTATTGTAACTTGAGAAATTCAACACGGCTGCGCATACCTACATAATAACTTAAGCCTAAAGTGGTCCTGGAATTATTCCATTTGCTGTGCCCAGCATGTAGTTAATGTATGATTTTGCATACCCACCCCTGGCTATGCAAATTGCCCACAGCGTAACGACTGTAAAGGCCTCCACTATAGTCGCATATGTCAAAGGCCTGCAGCAGCTCTGCGCGTGGAGGTCAAATGTTGGCCTTGAGAGGAATTCTATTTTTGGCCTTGATTTGTATGCCTTTTATTACATTGAGTAAACCATGAGCCCTGATAGAAGAATATTTACTTCTTACTAGTAGCTTAATCGATATACATTGTAAAAATCATAATCATTTCATAATCATCCATAATAGTACCTGCTTCTACTATGACTGATTCCAACTGAACATCTAAAGTTGACTGCTTTTATGTAATCTGTCATTCCATGTTTCCTGAGAAGCATTGGATCAGTTATCAAACTATTGTGCAACATGTGTATTGTTTTCAAATATAGTTACTTTTTTGAACAGAAATTCCTTAACGTGTTCCTTGTATGCAATTGGCAAACAACATTGGAAGAGTCTAGCCATTTAGACTTGCTGTCGTTGCACCTACACCCGCTTCATTACTAAGTAAAAGCAATACTCGTGTCGTTGCTGCCACTCAGAAAATGAATGGGTTATATTGTCCAAATAGTGACACACTTGCAGCGTGTAGCATTGATACGTCTGTTTTGCCCTGCCAAACTTTGTCTAGATAACCCACATCAGAGCAAAATTGCTTCGCTATTTGGGACAAAACTCATTAGTTTCTCTGAGTGCGGCTAAGACCCACATGGGTAACTAAGCTAAAGCAACACTTGTGTCTCACTAAGCATAACGCACTCTATACCCTCTTGCCCAGGCGCACTGCGAGTGCGAAGGGAGGTTTGGCTGTCCCCTCATCCCTGGAAGCCACTTAGTACTCGGTATGTGTTTAGGATGTAGCAGTCTCAGGCCACGCTGGAGTGCCTCTTGTGACCATATATTCATAAGCGCTTAAGAGCGTCTTGCCTCGTTGTTGTATAGAACCGCAATGCATTTAAAATTTTTAATACAATTTAAATTTGAAATTCAATACTCCAGACGCTTATACAGGGTTCGTACCGGTCATGGAAAACCTGGAAAGTCATGGAATTTGATTTTTCACTTTCCAGGTTTGGAAAGTCATTAGATTTAATTTCAGGTTATGGAAAGTCATGGAATTTGCATAAAAAAGTGTTCTCTGTGCTGCGCGTGTTTACCGTTTGTGCAGTCTCTTGTTTACTGCGTTCTGATTGGAGAACCAATGAAGTGAGCTCGGTCACCGAGATAAGTTGCATTTGAGAACTTTTTGATCCGCAGTGGCAGCGATCCATTTTCAGCGTGCATTTTCTACATCGCCATGCGTGGAAAGTGTAAATTTCATGACTTGTGGTTAAAAATAGAAGCTTATTGTGACTGGCTTGCTCGCNGTATACAATAAGATTTAGTTTACCGATTTATTGGACCTTACACTTTATGAAATCAAGGAAACTGTCGAAATAGCGATGCACTTTTGCTCTAATATTGGTCATCTTGGCCCGGTAAAAAGGACATATAAGTGCTACAAGCAGCAAGTATATTACTTTTTGGACAATATGATGCAAATTCATTTTTCTGAGTGTACTGACGTGTGACGTGTTGGTGCAGTACTTCAGGTTCAGCGTCGGTGGCATGACGGACGTGGCAGAGATCAAGGGGCACCGCAGGACGTATGTCGGGGCCATGCCCGGCAAAGTCGTCCAGGCAAGTCTGGGAGGTTTTTTGTCCAGACTTGTCTGACCCTGATAAAAAACGGGGAGGTTTTTTCTAAAATTTTTCGTCTGGGAATGAAACTTTGAAGGAATCATGTTTGCAAGGCTTGACATAGATTTGTCTAAACGTGTTTGTTTGTTCTATATTATCTGTTTTTCATCATGTTATGATAGTCTAATATTAATTGTAGATAATGATTGATAATTATACGTTACGCAATCGTGTTGGAGTAATGAGTTGGTTTAATGACTTTCATGCCAAATTTTGGGCTAATTTTTTGTAATTCATTTATCTTCTTCCTTTATTTCATTTAGTTCTCTATGTTCTTCGTTCACACGATTTCATGTCACTGAATTAATAAGTTATATATTTGAATTAATAACTTAATAATCGTCGTGCAGTGTCTGAAAAAAACCGAAACAGAAAACCCCGTCGTACTCATAGACGAAGTGGACAAAATTGGGCGCGGTTACCAAGGGGACCCTGCAGCAGCGCTGCTTGAACTGCTCGACCCTGAGCAGAACGCCAACTTCCTGGACCACTACATGGACGTGCCTGTGGATATGTCAAAAGTTCTCTTCATCTGCACCGCTAACGTCCTCGACACCATTCCTGACCCTCTCAGGTAATACCTATTCCGATACAACCATACCTATTAGGCATTTATTACCTATTCTAATACAACCATATTCTTCCTGACCATCTCGGGTAATATATATCAACCACAGTCATCTTTCCAGCAAATAATATTTGTGATTTCAAAATCGACCAATTCCATGATATTTTGATATTCCTGACCCTGTCAGGTAATACCAATTACGACCATATTCTTCCTGATATTCTATCTCGGGTAATATACCTATATCAACCACAGACATCTTTCAATTAAAACCGCATTTATAATTTCTAAATCGTCTAATTCCATGATTTTTATGAAAATTTTCTGGTCAACACTCACGTTGGTCATCGATATTCGTTTCTTTTTGAACATTTCTTTCACTTAATGTGTTTGCAGAGTTTTTGTTCATAATGTTTAAGTTTTTAAATTAATTTTCAGAGTCCAAGTTTTTTCTTGCATTATTAACTCTTAGTATAATGGATCTCCAATGCATTATTATTGAATAAAGAAACTATAATATTTTTCTATATGTCTGCAGAGATCGCATGGAAATGATCGATATTTCTGGTTACGTCGCCGAAGAAAAGATGGAGATTGCCAAAGCTTACCTCATCCCTCAAGCCATGAAGGCGTCTGGCATCGAGGAACAAAAAGTATGAGCTGATAGTTGTATGATCTGTGAAATTAATTAATTAATCTGGAGTTAGTTATATGATCTATAAAATAAATTAATGTAGAGTTAGTTTTTTGGTCTGTGAGATTAATTGGTGTTGTTTTGAGTTAATTGTTAAGTTATATAATCTACAGTTATGGTTAAGTTAAGTTATATACCTGTGTAATTAATTATTTTGTAAGGAATTTAAAAGCAAAGAAAACGCCAAGAAAATTCACCATATCGATATTGAAAACGTTTCGGAGTCCAGCTCCATCATCAGTTCTACTAAACTAAAATGAATAAAATCACTTCAAAAGTCAAAATTCAAAGACAGACATAAAACCTAAACAAGACCTAACATTATATCGAAATAAACAGGACTAGTTATGAACAACTTAGTCCTAGGGGGACGACAAGAATATAAAATCCTAGCGATTTACTATTTCCAGATTATATGAGCTAAACGCATTATTGAGACATGGTTTTCGCTTGAAGATATGTAGAGACTCCAAAATTCTCAAATCCGAGCAGCCAGAAGTGGAACCTGTCTCTTATACACATCTCCACGGTCCAGTCCAATATTCCTGTTCAGCATGGAGGCGCACGGAAGAATGAGGAGGCTTGGCGAGAGGCAAGTTAGAACGATAGCTCCTGCCACGGTGTTCAGAAACCCGGATGTAGAAGTTACGCGACGTCATTCCAACGTACGTAGATGCACAGCGTGCACAACAGAACTCATAGACCAGGTTTGATCGCATCCGAGCAGGAATAACGTCCTTATACCTGAAGAAAGAACCAATTTTGAAATTATTTACCAGTAAAACATGCAAATTTATATTTGGGAAATATTTCAAACACAGCATTTTTAATTCTTTGGACATAGTTTCAGAC